TTTCTGTCCTCAGATCTCCAAAGTGCTTGCCGGAAAGAAATTTTCTTCAATTGAAGATGTGAGAGCCGAAAATGAGTCCTATTTTGATGAAATGAAGAAATCGTATTACAAACATGGTATCGAAAAGTGTATAATCAGTGTATCACCCTTGAAGGGTACCATGTTGAATATAAAAATTTCTTATTGTGTCGAAAAATCAAAGAAAAAAAAAAACAAAAAACATGTTTCACCATGGTAAGTCGGGGTATTTTCAATTGATCTGTCATATTTCGCAAGTATTGATTGAAGGAATGAGACATGTGTAAAAATTTCTCCTAGCCAATTTGAAAAGTAAATTTTTCCACTAAATGCGACTTTTTAGAGGTGAAAGTTTTGACTAGTCCTTTGATCAATGCCTGTATTCATTTATAATTATATTAAAATTTTTTAGTGTTTGAATTCGAAATAACATTAAGCAGAAAACAATTTCTCCACCGCCTGTTTTAGGGGTCCTCTTAGAGATATGTTACGATGTGAAGAGAATCTAAAATTATCAAAATTAATCGTCGATTATTAATATGCATTCAATTCAGTAGGTGAGTATTTTTTAATTTATTTCTCAAATAAAATATCTCTTCAAAAATTAACAAAAAGAAAAATTAAAAAATGCGTTTTTCCTGATATGCAAGTGGTTCAAAGATTAAGATAATAAGCGCTCTCATGACATCCTTTCGCTTTTGTAGTGGTCAAATTTTTTCTTAAAATAAGATAATCAAAAGCAACTAACTATACTTTAAAGAATAAGCCAGTATTTCGAAGGCATTGTATAGCTTTAGGCGCTATTCACATTTTTTTTTCGGCGGTTTTGTAAAAATTATTGAAAACCTGGCTTAAATGACGTAAAATAATTCAAAAATCTTAATTAATTTATCTTGTGCTGCAAAATATGGTTTAAAAGTCTGCAAAATCAGCTTCTCAGCTCAGATACTATACTTGTATATACTATATACATATGTATAAATATACCTAAATGTATATGGATTATAGATAAAATGCATAAGAATATAAACCACTTACCTGTTTGCTGCAAATCATAAGTGATGTAAACATAGTACTACACCTAAACACTTAACAACTACGATTATTGTAATTTGAGGCATACTTCTAGGCTGCATTAGCATTGCTAAATGCAATAAGGCTTATTTTAATTGAGCGCATTAATTTAGCGGCATCACATTAAAATGTTGTAACTGATTGCAAACATGATAACAGCAACGGTGCTTTATAATGCGCCCAAAAGTATGCAACAAACTTATTAATGAGTCAAATTTATGCGCTCTTAGTATGATTATTTGCATAAAACAAGCATAATTTTATATTACAACAATTGACATGGAAATATTATAACTAATATTATAACAGCTGAAAGTTCGTATTAAAAAATTAAAATATCTTTAATTTGCCATGCACAAATAATCCCTAAAAATTACAAATTAAAAGTACACCACTAATTAACTAGCTACAAATAATTGCGAATGATGCATATGATAAGCAAATTTATACGCTGTGTGTTACAATTAATAAATTACAATAAGAACAACTACTTTTACATTATTATTTGTTACATGTAATTACAACTACAATGTGCGCACAACAGTATGTATCACAAGTGTGGAGACTACTTAGTGCGAGATTTTACATGAAACCGCAAATAATTTGGCGTCAATGAAATGGAAACACGAACCACTAAACACGAACACACGCACACACATGTACATATGAAACGAAAACGGACCGGTGAAGGCATAAATGTGATGAGGCAATGTTTGTTTGTATGACAAAATGGCGACATGAACGGTATGATGAGTTGAGTAATTTGAGCTTGTATGTGTATAAATTTTATGAAAATAACTATTTTTTATGCAAATAATTGGACACATTGCCAACAAATAGTCTAATATACACCCAACCATTGGCAACGACTGTAATGACCGTGTTGCAATGGCTGAGTAAATCAAAGGCATGAATGACTGCGTAATTGTGTAAACAAATCGACACGTAACACTGTGGCAACTGGATTAATATGCGGTATAAATATTTATTTAGTCAATGTGAGTATGAATTTCTTTTCGTGGTTTTTTTTTCGCTTTTTATGCATATTTTGTTCAGCACTTTGCTTTGTGTGAGTGTGAGTGACTGCTTGTTATGGTGTGAGTAGTGTGAAAGAGAAAGCTATTTACTGCTTTTTTGGTAGTTTGCTAGACAAGGCGCAGATGAGGGCATGCAGCCAGGGCACAAGAAGTTGGTTTGAGCTACGCGCAGGCAGTTCACAGATGTGTTACAGAGCTTTATATATGTATATATATATATATATATATATTTAGTTTTATTTGCGCGCGGTTATAAGAATGTTAGCTTTTAAGTTTTTGTTTTTGATATTTTGCCCCTTTTTTGAGTACTTTTTCGAGCATTAGTTCTTGCTGCAACTTTTGAACGCCAGTTTGTCAGTTTCAAAATTATTTAAATAATTTTCAAATGGATTTATAAGCATAACCAAGGTGCAAAAGAGTGGAAAAAACAATAAAAATTATATTTTAAATATTTACAGTTAAAATTTAATAAAAAGTAGCGTAAAATAAACATTTTTAAAATATCAAAATTTACATTTGCCTCAACTTCTAATCAAAGCCGTCTTTCGAAAACAAAAATATTTTGTTTAATATTTACCTTTTTTAGAAAAAAAAAATATTTTCATCAAATATTTTCCTAATTTCTCTATTAAAAATACATTTCCTGCAGCACTAATAGTTTATTTCTTCCACCGTTCTTTCCCTCATAACTTAATCTGTTTCTAAATATTGAGAGCTGAGCAGCTGCAAATACATATTTGTAGCATCGCTTTAGGCGCATTGTTTGTCAGACTAATATTTACTACGTTGTATAGGCAAACAAGCTGAGTATATAAACAACTGAGTGCTAAGCACTCTTTACAGAGTTGCATGATATACAACATTAAGCATTGCCTATTGTAAACAAGGAGGTAATTGAATGTAGTAGTATAGTTTTTGGCGCAATTATTGAAAACAATTGTTAAAGAAAATAAATTTAAAGAGTTCAGTGGTATGAGAGAGTAGAAGAAATAAATAGTTTTAGTAATGTAAAGGACTCGTACGCTGATATACGCAGACAATAAAAAGTGTAGGTATACTTTTAGGCTGTTTTTTCTTTTGTCTGTGATTTGGCGTCGAGAGAAAAAGAGAAATTTCCATACAATTTCAACTAAGCAAAGCACTGAAACGGGTTGAAATATCACGAGCTCGTTAAGTAATTCTTAGCATATACATATGTATATAGGAACTTATATATTCGGAATCCAAGTTTTTTTGGAAAATTTATATGTATGACGAGAGTACTTGCAGCTTAGAAGTTTAACAACTATTGCAGATGAGATGAAAAATAAAAAAAATTTAAGGCAAACAGCCAAGTTATTTAAAATAAAAATTTGTAGTATACCTTTAGGCTGCTTTTCGCTTTGGTTGCGATTTGGCATCGAGCGCAGTAGACAGCTGTTTGTTGCGATTTTAAATACACAAAGCACCACAACAGATTTTTTTGCTAAGCAGCTGGTTTGAAGTTTCATGATGTTCTTTAAACTTGTTTAACATACCTATAGGAGGTTATATAATGTTTGTAAGTATAACCCTAGGGTTCTCAGCTATTTATTTTTTTGCGCTATTCGAGTTAAAAGCTTATACTTTTAATGTTTTTCAGGGAAATTATTATAAAGGGGTCTCGGAGTATTTCTAATTTTTCTTGAAAAAACTTAGTCTTTTGAAAGTGCAAGAATTGCAAGAATGGCAGGAGGTAAAAAGTTCGTATTTGTACAAGAGAGGACGGAGATATGATAAAAAAAATTCTTGCATACCTTCAGGCAGTTTTTTTTATTATGTCTACGATTTGGCACCGAGAGAGAAAAAAGAGTTGTTTTGGTATAACTCTAAATAAACATGGTGTTAAAGACATTTTTTATTTTAGAAACTGTTCCGAAATTAAATGAATTCGTATAGAAATTTTGTAAGTATAGCTTTAGGGTGCTCAAATATTTCTATTTTTGCCATATTAGGTTTAAAAGCACTTTATAGGATTTAAATTGAACATTTCAAAGGCTCAAATAAAAAAAAAAAAAAATAATAATAATTATAATTAAAAAAGTCCTCAGAATAGTGTTATTATTTTTTTCAACCAAAAGGATAATTTGAGTACTCTTAGCTTATAAATAGTAAGTGTTTTGACCTATCGGGGGTGATTGGTGTACATACGAAATAAATAAAGTCTGACAAATGTCATGCCTACAAATTGTTTTTACGTAAAAAGATTTGCTAATATAATATATCCGTTTTATTATCCTTTCCTAATATCCGACTCTTTTAACCAAAAAAAGTGTTAAAAAATGCCGCGAAAAAAAATTCTATGGTATCTCTAATCTGCTGCTCGGTTGCTGCTTCTCTCTTCTCTTCTACTGCTTTCATCGAACTTATAACCAAATATTAAATAATAAGCAAAAACAACACAAACTACAAAAACTACAAAAACAAAAAATTACACAAATAATGACTGCAACTAAATAATAAACGAAAAAGTTCAGCATGCGCCAGAGCATGGCCAAAATGCTTAAATATGCACAGAAATGTGATGAACAGAACCTAAATTATTTCAAGGACAAATAATTAATTGACAATGTGACAACCAAACTGAGCGCTCCATTAGCGTGACTAACAAAACAAAACAAAAACGAAAAAAAAAAACAAATAAGAAGATAAAAAACGAGAAAACACAAAAAGCGCACAAGAAAATCATAAAACAAATACTAAGTGATAACCAACACAAAACCAACAACAAAAGCATAAAATAATAATAATTCAAAAACCCTTAAGCAAATTTTAGGTAAAATGCAATAAACCAATAACATTTAAGAATAGGTAAAAGCAAAAATATTTGGAAAACAAAGAAAAGCCACTGACGTTCATTGTCCTGGTCGACGCTGCTGCCGCTCTTGGTATTCGGCTCCGTGCCATCAATATAAACTTCGGTATTATCATCCTCTTCGTGCGTGCGACCGTCCTCATCATCCTCGTCATCGTCCTTGTTGTCCTCATCGTAAGTATCATCGAATTCATCCTCTTCATCGGCGTCCACCACGTGCTCGTCTCCGTCTTCGTCATGTGACGAGCTAAAGATCGCCTTGCGATCATTGCTGCCGCTGCTGCTGCCAGTGGTGGTAGTGGTGGACGATGCGGTGGTGCTGCTTGTGCTTGTGCCATTCTCCATCGCAGTGTTTGGTTCTTTGCCCAAATCGTTTTTGGGTTGATGTGGACGTTCAATGAGCACCTCGTGCTCATCATCGTCATCCACATCGCCGGTGTGATCATCGTCATCGTCGTCACGATCGCCATCGCCACTGCCGGCAAATGAGCCAGCGCCGCCCAGCTGCTGCTTGGCATCGTCATCATCGCCTTCGCCGAGATCGAAGTCTTCGTCGTCTGTGTGCGCAGCGCCGCCTGCAGGGTAGTGAGGTGCTGCGGGTAAGTGGGTTTGTTGGACTTGGTTGGGGTATAGGTATGAGCCGCGATTTTTGCCCGCCGTCGCAGAGCTTGTGGTGGTGGTGATGTGGGTGAGAGTGGGTGTATTTTGATTTGTGGTGGTGGTTAATGGAGACGTTTGTTTCGTCGTCGTGGCTGTTGATATGAACGATGGCAATGATATTGATTTGATTGCATTAATGTCTATTTAAAGTGTGTACATATGTATGTATGTTGGGAATTTCGATAAAATTTCGTTATTCAGTAGAAGGAAAGGTGGTGCAGTTTTGATTTATCCCGAAAGTATTGTTGTTTATTAACGGAACAGTTTTTTACAAAAAAAAAAATTTCAAAATCAAAAGTGTGTGAGTGAGAAGAGTGTGTAGGTGAAATTTTGATAGTGAATTGTGTGCAGAGTGAGTGAGTGAGTGAGTGAGTGAGTATGACAGTGAATATGAGAGATAATTTGCGTGAGCGTATAGAAGATATATGTTGAATGAACAGATGATAAATAAAGTCGATAATGAATGATATTGATTTATGTATGGTATGTGGTTGAATATAGACGAATTGACTATGAAAATGCTCTTATGATCTTTACCAATTGTATTGAGGCCAGTGTTGCTACCACTGTTGCCACCGATGATGCCTGAATTGCTGCCGCTATTACTGCCAATGATTGTGCCACTATTCGTTTGATGATGAGTTCTACTGGTGATGAGATCGTCGTTGTCGTCGGTGGTCAAAACTGTATTATGTTTACCCGATTGTGTGTGTATATTGTTTCCGCGATGCGATGGCTGTAGATCGGTGGAAGAGTCTTCGTCATCTGGACCAAAACCGGAACCGGAATAATCGGGATCCTTGTCTAAATCATCGTGCAGCTAAAATAAGACAGAAAGGATATAGAAAATTCTTAGTACTATGAATGATTTATATATGAAAATTGATAAAACGAAATTTATCGATATTTTATAATCATTTATTACCAGAAAATTTGCATAAAATTTCGAAACATAGTAACACGGTAATAGAAATTACTTTGCCGGGCTCGAGTTATCGCTAGTTTTACCGTTAGGCAAGTAATTTCGGTAAATCATGACGATATCGGCAGAAATTTTGGTCGAAAACGAAAAGTAATTAGGTATTAAACAACCATTACTCATTTAAATAATACAATATATAAGTGAAATCTCGATAATTTGTAATCGAATAAATTATCGATAAGTTTTGTAATACAAATAAGCAGATAGCAACGAGCGCGGTTTAGAAACGAGTTATAATACATCGAGTTTTTAAAGAAGATTATCGATAAATAATGAAATATAAATTTAAATATGAAATTCCGAATAATCTCTATTATTCATTTAAACAAATTTTACTTTGCTATCGATAAATATAATTTTGATAAATTGTAATCGAATAAGTTATCGAAAAGTTTTTTTTTGATACAATTAAAGATATAGCAACGAGCGCTACTTTAGAAATGAGTTTTCTTACATACATTTTTAAACGAAGATGATTACATGCATATTTAAACAAGGGATAACGATAAATCATGAGAAAAAATTTAAATCGAAAATGCGGAATATTTAATATGTGAATTATTCGCTATTCATTTACAGAATTTGTCTACGGATATAAATAAGTAAAGTTCCGATAATGTGTAATCGAATAAATTATCGATAACTTTTCTAAAATATTTAAACGAGTAGCAACGAGCGCTTCTTTCAAATGAAGCATATTGTATCAATTGTTTAAAAGGCGATTATTATATATTTAGTCAAGTGATATCGATAAATTCTAAGCTATATTAAAATGAGTTTTAAAATGTAAAGCAGCTTTTCTCAATATTGTTTGGTCTTTGAGTCCCTATTAATAATATGGAGTCTCTGTAAAATTTCAAAAATATTCGAATACAGTTAAAGTAACAACTCTGTTTTTAAATGATTTAAGAACAATTAGATAATATCTTTAAAATCAATTAACTGTGTTTATCAAAAGTGTTTTGATTTGGAATTAAACTAATAAGGCTGCATGAAACTTGTTTCGTTATCGATATATTCTTAAAATCGATAACGTGTTGTTATAGAACTCGATGTGATTCCTTATTGAACTAATAAAAGTTTGGAAAATTTACAGAATGAAATTTGTTGATGTAATTTTGAATGTTAAACTGTAATATTCGATAAAATTTGAAAAGTATGCATTCCGAACAGATAAAGACATATCGAAGGGTGCTTTTTCCATTTTTAATCTTTGGTAGTTTTTTTATTTTATCGTAAAAAATAATCATCAAAATTAGGTGTTCGAATTTTATCGATTTATCGATATACCAAAATTTTTAAATCTTCGGAAATCAACTTCTGGAGAGTTTTCTTTTAGAGTTTAATTAATTATATTTGTAAACCCACAAAATTTTTCGATGAAATGATATCAACAAATTATCGAAAAACCAATTAATCGATTAACCCATACCAAACATAAATGGATATTTAAAAATATTTAAATTTTCGTTAGCTATCTTTTGGTCAAAAATGGAGAATGGATATTTGTAAACTCACAAAATTGATCGATTAGCCGATGTTAAAAAATTATCCAAAAAAATATTAAAAGTTTACTTAAATTTACTTCAAAAACATTTAGATCAAAACCTATGGCAAAATGTCGTTTTTTAATCAATTAATCGATAGCTTTGCGATACAGTAACAACGAAAAAGCTCTTTCTCGGAATTATTAAAGTTTTACGTGATTAATTAATTAATTTATTTTCACTAGTCATTTACTGAACAACAACTGTTACCAAGAAAGTTTCAACCCACCAACTTCTTAGCAACCACAAACTTAACTGTGCCACCACTTCTGCAGAACACTTGCGGTTTGGCCCAACTCCTTATGGCACATATTTATCCTAGCGCTAGAAAGGGTCAACACAAATGAAGCTTAGATAACACACGCTGCCACAGGCTTCGCAAATGCTTCAAGGCAATAGTGGAACGAATAACGGCAACCATGACACGTCTCCGTCTAACCGCAATTTATGTGTCCCCGAAGTGTCAGTGTGCCATTGTGGCACTGTGCTGGTGCGTGGCGCAAAGCGTTTGCGTGGCAATAATGCAATCGCATTTCTATTTACGCGTGAAGCTTTTACTCTGCCGCTAATATAATGCGATCGCTAATATATATTTATGCGGTCGGTACATGCCTTTATTCGGTATAAGTATATCTGAATTTATGGCCGGCAAATGGTTTGGGTCGTCAGCGCGTTAAAGCAAATTTATGTTGGCCGTTATGCGTGCTCTTGTGCGTGCAAATGTCGTTGACGCGTGCAAAACTTTTACGCTTACAGCAGAAAATTGCAAAAGTTTTGTGCGCTTTTCTTTACTTTGCTCTAAGTTGTGGTGGTTACGTCGCATATCCGGTGCCATTCGCACGCAGGAAGTGGACTTGGAAGTGGAACGTAATTGAATTTAATTACAATTTTGCATTAAGCAATGTCTAATGCAGTTTTATTGCAGTATTGGAAGAAGTAGCTACATTAGAAGCGATTGCATATGCTTAGTGTTGTGTATTGGAAGCCGCAATAAGTATTTAGTAGACACACCCAGATTTGTGGCATAGTACTGTAGACAATATTAAAGTAAATTTATGACAGGAATAGAAAGTCGTTACTAAAGGAATGTACAAATTTTTCAAAGCGTCTGTACGATAGCTGCTACCTTTCTAACTGTGAACGTTTTCTGCTATCGGATGTCACTTATCGATAGCATAATTTGCTGGCGGACTTTCAAACCGCAGCACTTCGGAAAGCTTATACTAGACTTTGCTAATTTTTCATTTTTATTGGATGATACTATACTTTGGTGCTTTTGAGCAGTGGCAGTATAATTTCTTTTAGAATTTCTGTGTTCTCATTGAATACTGTTTCAATAATTGCTGGGTTTCGAAGTCTTCTGGAATTTGTAGCCAAAGGTACACAGACATTCTTAGGCTACAAATTTCCTGAATTCTTCGAAACTCAATTGCTATGTTCCAATATTTCAATACTTTTTTTAATAACTTTGATTCGATTCAACTATTAGTATATGAATGTACATAATAACTGATCAAAATTCATAAAGAACTATTTCGATAATTCAAGAGGGTGCGAAACTGTTTGGATAATCTGCTCTCTGCTCGGACAGTATCTAGTTATTTACTGCACTTTCTAGATAATAGAAAATTCTAAAAACAACATGAAGGAAGACACGTCTTCAGAAGCAATGTCTATGACCCAAAGATCTTCTTTGTTCTTTGATTGCGAAAGTTAAGTGTGAAACTTTTGGAAATTTCTTATTTATAGTTACAATTGCCCTAGTTAGCACTCGAGTTCCAAAATTATATATTAAAATTTAGGAAAAATATCGATGAAACATCAAACAAATATTTAATATATTTGATATTGAGTAGTATCCCAGTGGCTCCTAAACTACCCAAAAGTCTTACAAGAAATATGGTAACCATGTACTTAGATACCACAATAGTTTTGGAAAAAGTCGCTGGGTTTAAATCCCATTAATTATTTGGAAATTTCAGCCCTTTTCAGCAAAGGAAATTGTACTCCCTAGCGAACGATGTGATGAAAATCGATTGCATTTGACTTGTACGAGGTAACGTCTTGTGTATGCTTATGTGTATATGGAGATCGATATAACTGTCCTTAGACACCAGCTAAGACTGACCAGCTCAGACCTTCGACCTCTTCAACTGATGAAAATATTAAAAAAAAAGTGAAATATATGGTGATTAAAAATCGACAAGCAAGTGTTAAAGAGATGGATAGAGATCTCTCGTGAGTCCGTTCAAATAATTTTGGTGAATATTTTGGGTACGAAACGTGTTCTTGCTCGTCTCCTCCCGATAAAGCTGAGTTTTTCTGACTTCAAAGCCAAAAACGCAATGAATACCATGGATAAACCACCGTATTCACGAGATTTTGCTCCATGTCATTTTTTCTTGTTCCCCAAACTAAAATTGACGATCTGTGGAACCCGTTTTCAGTTGATCAAAGAGATACAACAAAATTCACTGAAGGATCTGAAGGCCATCTCAAAAAGAACTTTTCAAAAAGTGATTCGAGGACTGGACATAAGTGTATTACATATGTGGAGGGTTACTTTGAAGGCGACGAATTGACTATTGATGAATACATAATTATTTTACGTTTTATTTATTGCCGAATAATTTTTTGTCGCAACGTATATCCCTGATATCGAGTAGCTTTTTGTGAAGCTCGAGCAGGATAACTCAAAACCGGACGGACGCAGCTCGTCACGCTGATCATTTACATATCCTTTATAGCAGTGTTTCCCAAAGTGGGCGACAACGCCCCCTTGTGAGCACCGCAGGTGTCAAGGGGGGCGGTAAGAGACCCAGAGAGAAAATGTGGGCGTTGTGTAGAGGCCTGGGGGGTTATTTGTAATTTTATTTAGCTTGGAGGCCTCTTAGACAACGACTACATGAGTTCTCGACTCTCAACAACAACTTGTGAACATCAACTAATATAATTTAAAAGATTGCTTAAACTCGGTTCTATATTTCTTTCCACGTAGTTAATATATCTGTCCTATTTTATTGAATATAGAAAAAATGAAAATCATGTCAATCGGTCGCTCCGTTTCATAACGGCGATAGAATTTATAGAATACTAACTGTCAAACGTATTGCTATTGCCATTGCTAAATCTGAATGTGGGCATTTGCTATCATAATATAATCATTTGCGCAAAGGTGTAGGGTAGGCAGGTTCGAGCTGATGTAGCGCACGTTTTGAGCTTTTGAACTCCTTAAATCGTTTATGTGGAAAATAAAAAAAGGATAAATATCTTTTTTCTTACAAATGTATT